TTGTCAAGAATGAAAATGCAATAACTACAAAAAATCTTTATCCAGAAAGTGACAAACGGGCAGTACGGCTTGATATATTCGGGAAGTTTCAAATTACTTGCAATACAGATGCTCTGCTCAGCTTCAATATTGCTCTACAGTGCTACTCTTGGACTTATTGCTCTATTTGTAAGATTATTTTTATAAAATTTTTTATGATTTTCTTAGCATGAATCTACCATCACTCAGAGTGATGTGTCTGTTTTTGTTTGTTACGCAGTTACTTTGTGTTCAAGAAGACTGACAGATGTGTGATTGCACTCTGGGGTTCTTTTTCTATCTTAATTTAATCTCAATTCTTGGTGTTTTCCTCTCAAACACTTTTAAAGATGATGAAACATAAAATCACTCACATGTCGCATGTCACAGAAGTCGCTGAAAAGGGTAAGTAAGGGGGGTATCGTGCATACTGAATATAGATGCTCCAGCAACTGCCGTGGAGCGTAAGAGCCGATAGTGCGGTGTTCTGGTAAGTCGTGTCTGGATGTGAAGACGGGCGGTCTAATCCACAATCATTTTCAAAAAAGTGTTCCTTTTTCGAGACCTCATGGAATGATATAGTAACTCAGCATTATATATTTAATATTAGATAAATACTTTCGAATAAGTTAAGGATAGCGTTTTCTTTTTTTTTTTTTCACTTTCTTGCAGTGTCGAAACGCTGACCTATATTATAGATGCTGGGTAGAAGTCCACTTGGCTTGCGGGTAACCGATTACGAGGAACAGATTGGTGCCGATGTTGTGCAACACGGATTGGCTGGTACCAATATTGCTCGATACCATATCGAAAAACCCTTGTCATCGAAGTATGCCATTTTATAAAAAAATATGAATTCTACAGTTGTTATTTTCTATACGATAAGTAAAGCTCCAAGAGCTGCTAGATTGTAGTGTGAGGCAGCAGCTGATAATGAAATGCAAGTCAAACGAATCTTTGCTTGCCTGTTTCACGACCCTATCCGCTTTAGGCTTCTTACCTCTCCGCAGATTTTGCAAACCACTTTCTGAAGTCCATCCAAACAATGGTTTTCTGAGTGAACTTGCTTGTAACTCACCATTCATCAGTGACCAGCAAACGAGCAATTTTAATGGACCGAAACATTACTTCTGTTAAAATAATTCTATTAATTTACAAATATTGTAATCTTATCTCCTACCTTCCTTTTTGACTCTTCTTATTTCATTCTATTGTTAATATACCTTTCTATTCCCCTGCGGGT